ATTGCTGTATTGTTTTTATAGATTCTTCTTGAACATTCACGCATAATTACAAATACGGAAGTTTTTAATTTATTAAGTAATGAAGATTTCTTTATCACATGCCGACAAATTCGATCAATATGGAAACCGATAAAAGCCTGTATTAATGTTTTAGAAGCGAGTTCGGCAAATTTAGCTGACTGTTACATCAACTTAATAAAGTTAGCTGTAACAATTTATCAAATTCCTGAAATTAATCCGTTTAAACCTGCTGCTATCCAAATATTCAATCGTCGTTATGCAGAATTTCAACATCCCTTATATCTTTTAAGCTATTATCTCTATCCATATTACCGCGGTAATGAATTATAGATTAATTTATTGCTATCGCTATAGGATTGGTATTAAAAAGTCAAATTGAATCAAGATCGTAAATATCTTTAATGTTAACGTTCTTGATTTAATAAATATATATATAATGCCAAGTAATTTTATAATATTAGAGTTTATTTTTATTTTTTTTTAATTTTTTACCTTTTTTTTATTTTTAATTTTATAATTTTATTTATTTTTTTTTTTTTAATTTAGGATTGGGACTTCAAAACAAAGCATTTCGCGATGCTGCTATAGCGGCATCAACATTGTGGAAGAATTTGGGTCGTTCTGCTCAGGAGTGTAAGGAATTAATTTCACAATTCCGTTACTATGATGCTAATAAAAAACCTTATGACTTACCCTATGTTCAAGAACTCAATACACCAATGTTGTGGTGGGGGTTGATAAAAAATAATCATCTTTCTAAACTTGCACAAAGACTTTTTAGTATTGCACCTTCTCAAGCTAATTGTGAGAGAAACTTTTCGACTCTCAAATGGTTCATTGGAGATAAGCGAATACGTCTTGGTGTTGAAAAGCTAGAAGGAATAGCCATGATTCGGTCTTACCATATGGCGAATATACGAAATGAACTTACTTATTTTGATATTGGGCTAACTGAAGCCGAACTGTGTGAAATGGTAAAGATCGCAACGATTGATGATTATGTTACGGGTGAGGAGGAACTAAGTGGAAACAATGATAATACATATGAAGAAAGCTCAAATTCATTATCTCAAACCACTATAATCTTAGAGGACATTGTTAATTTGCGGAATCCCGTTTTTCAAGACAGAGAAATCATATCATTTGAATCTCCTACTGACATTGCAGATTCTAATATTGAAGGCGATATTGATCTGGACTTTAGTCCTGAGGATCTTGTCAACACTGTTTTAAGTGTTGAATTATAAATTAAATAATTATTTAATGTAATAAACGCAATGTATATTATAATTTATTTGCATTCAAAGAAATTTAAAGTTTGAAGTGAATGCATCTAATAAATCTTTATTTTATATGTCACTCTTATTTTAAAAGGTGACCTGTTTTATTGGTAAAAATTTTAACGGTTCATTGATTAAAAGTCTATTGCAAAAGAATTTAAAAATAGATGACTTTGATACTTTTTTCATATCGAAAATTCACTATTACAATGTCTGATATCGTCGAATATTATGTTGCATGTCTGAAATAACGGCATAAGTCAAATGTTACGGCATAAGTCACATGTTATGACAAACGTCAGTTGTAGCTTTTTGACGTATCGGTCATTGACCGTGGATGCTACAAGAAAGTTATGTTACCGATCAATTTTCTGCACCTATACTTGCGTGTTAATGGACTTTGAAGTGTATATATTATGATTTGGATCTTTTTGTACGATACTTGGTAGTTTTTTAACCATCTTATCAGCTTCTAAGAATTGCTTTTTAATTCTTGTGTTAGTTCCATGCGCAAGTTCTTCGATCCAAGCAGTAAATACTGCATTAATATATATAGTAGTAAGTCTTTCCTTTGGATCTGAGCTCATACATTGTTTAGCTAATTCAACGTAACATTCGGGAGTCCAAGTGCGAATTCTGGTCGCAATCCCCCACAAATCTTTATTGCTAAATCATTATTAAATTCGTAACCATCGAAAATTTTTTTTCCTGTTAATATTTCCCACATAATTATACCAAACGAATAGATATCTGCTGCTTGTGTAAATGGTTGACCTGATAAAACTTCTGGTGCAACGTAAGGTAAAACTCCAACAATTTCGTTATCGTTTTTAACAGGCGACGTAAGACCTAAATCCACGATATACGCATTATCCAAATCGTCTTGTAAGATGTTACCACTATGCAAATCTTTGTGAACATATCCTTGTGAATGAATTGCTTCAAGATCAGATGTTATGCAACTTAATAAATTTAATTTTTTTTTCCATTTCATTTGCGATACTTCGCGAAGATTATCACGTAAAGAACCCTTTTCTGCATATTGCAAAATAAGAATGTAATTTCCTGAATTATCTCTCGATAGCCCGTAGCACCTTAAGAACGATGGATTTTTATATCCGATCTCGCAAAATGCTTTCAACTTTAAAAAAGAAAATATTAATCATAAATTTAAACATCAAATTATTGGAGTAGGAAACTTTATAATAAATTCGGCAATTAGCACGATAAACGGTTGCAAATCCACCTTTTCCAACCTCTTTAATATTTTCAAATTTATCATATGGGATCCATAATAATTGATACTTCTCATCATCCAATATTTTTTTAACATTTTCATCGATACCAGAATAAGTGAATTTCTCTACCTCTGTTCAAAACCAAGTTAAACTATTAAGCACAAACATAAACATAAATAAAAAACTACGAGATTATTACCTTGAAACTTGCTTCTTTCCCTATTTTTAATTATTAATATTTTTTAATATTTTTTATTTAATTATTAAAAAAGACTTACATTTTGAACCAATATTCCGATTCTTTTAGGTCCTTTTTTGTTCCGATTCCGTTTCGATAAAAATAACCAACGAGTTTCATTCCATCGGCATAACCCATTTTAGCTGATTTCAGATACAATTCAAAGGCTTTTTTCAAATTTATTTCAACTCCGTTTCCGTATTGATAACAACTCGCAAGATTATATGTTCCCACAATATCTTCCATATTATCAGCTTTTTGATATTGAATAAATGCTTTGCGTTCATCCTTTTCAATTCCAATTCCATTATTATAAAAATAACCAAGTTTAAATATTCCATCAACATCACCCATATCAGCAGATTTTTGAATATAATCAAATGCTTTTCTTTCATCCTTTTCGACTCCAGTTCCAAATTGATAACAACATCCAACATTATACGTCCCACTAGCATTCCCCATCTCTGCAGATTTTTGATAATAAATGAATGCCTTATGTTCATCTTTTTCAATTCCAATTCCTTTTTCATAACAATATCCAACATTATACGTCCCACTAGCATTCCCCATCTCTGCAGCACATTATTGGACAGACGACAAAAAATAACAGGAAATTTTTTTTTGTCGTACGTATGTTCAATAATGATGTTATCCGATAGTTAATATGACCATGTGAAGTGATATTTTGCAAAACTGATTACGTAATTTCACATGATACATATGAAATGTCGGATAAATTTAATTATTCGACATTTCATATGATCATGTGAATTTTTTTGCCATGATATTTTTTACATGAAATTACGTAATCAGTTTTG